ATTATTATTAATTACAATAATAATTGTAACAATTAGGATTACTGTTGAATGACGATTCTTCTTCTTTTCGTAATAATTAGCGAGTAACATGTGACTTCAACACCTACAATGTCACCATTGTTTTACGATTACACCCTTATCATTTTACCCTCAAGTTTCCACCCTTACCATTCAACCCTCAGAATGTCAGCCTTATGATTTTTTCGCCCCTTTCTATTATTGCGATTTGACCCTTACAATTTACTCTTCAGGTTTTACCCTTATGATTTCACCCCTATGATTTCATTCTCATCATCTCACCCTTACGACTTAACCCTTACAATTACACCAACGGCTGGAGCCCAATGACCAAGCTCCGGGCCACCGCTGGCTGAGGCTTGGTTATCGAGGTCCGGCATGCCAATGTCTAGCCAAGGCAGGGCCAGATCTGTCAACCAAGGCTCGGTTACCCGCCCTTCCCCCGAGACTCAAGCCCTGGTCCCCAGGGATGGCCGAACCTCGGTCCAAGCCTGGGCGCCCAGACTTGGCAAGCCCAGGCTTGTGCCAGGCTTGGCCCGTTTCTACAACACTGGCATTTCGTACGTGGGGGTGTCAATGAAAATATGCAAGTATTTTTGACAGTGTTTGATGTTTGTTTTCAAAACAATAAATTAGATGTATAGAATAAATTAATGATCATGCGAATAAATTTTCCGAATTCCTCGATTTTTCATTCTCCGCTATTAGACATTTCATTTACCAATTTTATTTTCACATCCCCTTTCGTGCAAAAGAATATTCCAATGTTTTGCATTCCAATGCCAACTGAAGAAGGATATGTAGTTGAAATTGATGGAACTTCTGCAACATTGAGCCAAAGTGCCTATATCTACAATACTGAATGTCGCGCGCCAACTCACGCCGCGACGTTGTTGCGCCATGAAATTTCTACTAGGATATATGTAGAAATGACGAACTTAAAATCTAGAGTGTAAAACAAGAAGGATTGTTCCATCGAGAAAACGAATTCAGTGCTGAGGATATTTTCCGAAAAGCGACACCACGTAATGTAAGCAACCATTACGGAAATATTGTGAGAGATACGAAAAAGTTATTTCGTGTAGGAAGACAGTGGCAACTCAATTGTTTGCAATGATGATGCCCAGATGGGCTCCCAAACAATACCAATTATGAGCCAAAATATCAGATTTTTATCTATCACTTTAGTCCTTTTTATGTGAAAATTTATTTAAAAAACTCCCAGAATTTTGCACCCGCATACGGATGTATAATACACAAATATTTTCTAAAAACATCATATCTCGACGTTTCATGACATTCCAAGTAATTTCCAAGCTAAAGTAGAGAATCAAAAAATCGACCGATTACAAAGCTTCCATTCGGAAGCAAAAACGATGACTACAGCCCCGGGACACGATTTTTTATAGTTCTTTTCAAGTTTTCGAGTTTGGGAAGTATGTAATACCAATTTCCAGATGAGGAATCGCGAAAAGCCGTGCAGAAAATCCGCTTTTAAATAATTACGTTTCTATCAAATGAAAAGATACATTATTTCATTGTGCGTCGGTGATTATTCGTTGGGTATCTTCATGACAAATTTTGCATTAGGTCTTCCTTCGCGATAGCGAAATATTTCAATGCTCTTGAAACAACCTTCGTCATAAAGCAGCACGTGTCAGAAACAAAATATAAAATCGTCAAAGATTTCTCACAAATTGCCGTCATGAAAAGCAACATAAACTTCGACAAATCCGGCTTGCATAATCAAAACAATTTCAACGTTCTGAGAAAGAAGAGAAGAATTCGCTTGTAGCACCGAATATGAAATTTACACGTATGGGACTACAATCAGCGTTTCTCTTCTTGACAGTGTTCAAAGGCGTTGAAAGTAAGTGATGATGAATTAGAAACAAAGTTCTCAACGACAGAAAATTATATAAATTTCTATTGCAGTTGCCTGTCAAATTGACAATGGACTCGGCGCAACACCGGGACGCTTTCCATATCAAGTATTCATTACTCAAGACGGCGAATACATCTGTGGTGGTGGAATAATTGACGCAATTCATGTGATCACGTCAGCTCACTGTGTGGCTGAAGACCCAAGATACGAACTAGCAGTGATCGCTGGAGCAATACATTTGAATGACAATAATGCAGTCAACAGAAGTGTCAACAGAATTCATGTACATCCATATTATTTCAGTCCACATATCGGTCCTCACGCAATCGGAGGGAATCCTTCAACGAATGACATTGCCGTACTGACGTATGTTCCATTGGTTTGATCTATACAATGGTCGCCATTAAAAAAACATTCTCTAAAACTCGAAATTTTACAGCTTAATTTCACCTTTTCGGTGGGAAAATCGTATCAGGCCTATGGTATTACCAACGAATACAGTGGAAGCTACAGACTTCGAGTGCATAGTTTGTTATTTCGCTGGATTGGGGCGAATAGGACAACTTAGTCCTCATTCGAGACTGCTGCAGTACATAGTTATGAAAATATTAACAGCTAGAGAGTGCAGCCGGTGGCAACACGCTCCAGCAGTAAATGAATTCTGTGCTCAAGACATTTTCGTAGCAGCAAGCGGACTCGAAGTAAGTACTGCCTGGATGATAATTTGTACCTCAGGTTTCCCGATCTCAGATCAGGTACAAGTCCGACAACGGTCAGAATGTACTTATTCGACTCTTGGATTAGCACCCGTTCAGGATCTTAGAAGAGTGTCTGGGTTCAATGCAGTTCAGTCGATGCTGATCCTATTCTAAAGTCATATATCAGGTAGAGAAAGCCGACGCTGAAAAAATGGGTCAAGCGTGGCAGAACTCTGGACTTACCAAGCCTTGGCGCCCAAGCTTTGTTGGAGGTTCGAACTTCTTCTGCAGGGACCAGGCTTGGTCCTTTCATCTGTCCCTACCTGGATATCGGATTCCAAAACTGACCAATATCAGGCTCTATTGGCCCTCTAATGTCAATAAGTTGCTGCTAACATCGCCGTTTCCTTCATAAGGACCACGTGATCCGTTCTCTGGTACCTCTCGTGACGTTTCGTGGCTTATTAGCATTAGAGGGTTAAACCCTTACTCCAGCCTGATTTGAGATTCTATTCGGATCAACGTAAATAGCTTCTGATTTGATGATTCTCATTTTTTGTGTAGGGAGACAGCGGTGGGGCTATCGTCTGCAATGATGTGGTTGTAGGCATATTCAAAGGTTCAGACGAACGTCCAGGCTATCCACAAATTTTCACCAGTGTATATGCTTATTTAGATTTCATTAATATGGCGCGTGAAAACTGAATTGTGACTCCCGTTAGAAACTGATAAGTGTATTTGTCTTTCCGGTGTCAATGAACTCAACTCTAGATGTATGGAATAAATCGATGATCATGTGAATAAATTTCCCGACTCGTCCATTTTTCATTCTTTACTATTATACATTTTATTTACCAATTTTATTTTCACATTTCCTTTCGTGGAAAATAATATTCGAATGTTTGCTTTCCAATGCAAACCGAAGAAAGATATGATCCCCCTCGGGGATGCTTGTTATATGCAGAAATGACGCTCTTAAGGATAATCGGGCGAGCTGGGAGGGTTGGAAAAAAGCAGCCATTTTTTTCTTTTTTTTACGTATTCGTCAAATGATGGAAAAGACCTGTGCAAAATTTCAGACTGCTGGGGAGCATGGTTAATTTATTATGACTTTTTGAAAAAGTGGTCATTTAACCCGTGATCTTATGGAAATCACCAAAAAAAACTGCAAAACTCAAAGAAAAAATGCAGCCAAAGTCATGAAACTTTCGATACATTTAGAACATGTGATCAATGATTTTTTGAGTGAAAAAGATTGTCGCCTAGGAGCATTGTTTATTAATAATAGCGAAAAAAGTACTTAAAAACGAAATTTCTGCGCACGCAGCTCAAACGAGCTGCAACGTCCCAAGTACCGATCGGGTGGGGATAGCGCGGTCAATTTAAACGTCTCTTGAGAGAGAGCGATGAAGCGTTGTGATTGGAGTTCCCTCGGGCCAGTGGTACCAGCTCCTGGAGAATTTTGCACACACGCATGGACGTATACACAGATATTCTAAGAACATTAGATCTCGACGCTCCATGACTTTTCAAGTCATTTCCAAGCTAAATTAGAGAATCGACAAATTGACCGACTACAAAGCTTTCATTCGGAAGCAAAAATAATCGCAACAGCCCCGTATGTATTTAATACCAATTTCTAGGTGAGGAATCGTAAGAAGCCATCCAGAAAATCTATTTCCAAATAATTATATTTCAATCAAACGTAAAAACACATTATTTCATTGTGCATCGTTGATTATTCGTTTAGTACAAAGCTTTCAGTCGTAAGTAAAAATCTTCGCAACAACATGTTGCGAATACCAACATGCATGTCTGCATGTAATACCAATTTCTAGGTGAGGAATCGTACGAAGCGACCCAGAAAATCTGTTTCCAAATAATTATGTTTCTATCAAACGAAAAAACACATTATTTCATTGCGCATCGTTGATTATTCGTTGAGTTTTTTCACGACAAATTTTGCTTTAGTTCTTCCTTCGCGATAACGAAATATTTCAATGCTCTTGAAACAACCTTCGTCATAAAGCAGCATAATGTAAAATGTCATAAGCAAAATATAAAATCGTCATGATTTCTCACAAACTGCCGTCATGAAAAGCAACAAACTTCGACATAGCTGCCTTAGCTAACCAAAAAAACTTCAACGTTCTGAAAAACAAGAGAAGAATTCGCTTGTAGCATAGAATACGAAATTTACATCTATGGCACTACCATCTCTGTCTCTCTTGATACTGATCAACGGCATTAAATGTGAGTGATGACGAATTGGAAATAAAGTTTTCAATTACAGAAAATTGTATCAATCTCTATTGCAAAGTTGCCAGTCAAATTAACAATGGATTCGGTGCAACGCCGAGACTCTTTCCATACCACGCATTCATCACTGAATCCGGCGAATACATCTGTGGCGGTGGGATAATTGATGTAACTCATGTACTCACAGCAGCTCACTGCGTGGTTGGTGGGCCAAAACATAATCTAACAGTGATTGCTGGAGGAATATATTTGGAAGAGGATAATGCAGTCAATAGAAGTATCGACAGAATTCACTTAAGTCCATATTATTCTAATCCACTGATCGGGTCTCACACAAGTAGAGGGAATCCTTCGTCGCATCCAACAAATGACATTGCGGTACTGACGTATGTTCCATGGAATTTATCTATAGAGTGATAATAATCAAAGAGACATTTCTTAAAAGTTTAAATTTTACAGCTTAATTTTAGCTCCTCACTGGGGACATCATATCAACCCTATAGCATTACCAAGGAATATAGTTGAGGCTACAGGCTACCGGTGTGCAATTTGTAATTTCGCTGGATTGGGGCGAACAGGATAACTTCGTCCTACTTCGAAACAGCTTCAATATATAATTATGGCAATATTAACAGTTAGAGTGCAGACAGAGGGACAGCTGCCAGCAGTGAATGAATTCTGTGCTGAAGACTTTTTCCAAGTAGCAAACAGACTCGAAGTAAGTATTCGCTGAGTAAAAATTTATAGCTCAGGTTTCCCGATCTCAGATCAGGTACAGATCCGACAGTCATCAGAATGTCCTCATTCGACTTTCAGATCAGCACCCGTTCAGGATCTTAGGTGAGTGTCTGGGTCCAATGCAGCTCACTCGATGCTGATCCTATCCTAAAGTCATATCTGAGGTAGTCAATGCCAGCGCTGGAAAATGGGTCGAGTGTGGTACAAGCCTGGACTTACCAAGCCTTGGCGCAAGCTTGGTTGGAGGTTCGGACATCCCTGGGGATCAGGGGAGCTGTAATTGAGTCAAGTATGGTCCTCTCATCTTTTCCTATCTAGAGCTGCCTACAAGACTCAAACGAGACTTCACTTTAGAGGGATCGTCTCGGTGTTGGTGAACACGGAAACGTTTGGTCTCGTCACAGTCTGAAAAAGGGCCGCATCGGCTCTTCTCGTGATGACTCATAGTCAATTTATCTCATCTCGGTCTCAGATTTCTCATTCTTTTTCAATGCAAAGTCTCGGTTTCAGACTCGGTCTTCTCGTCCCGGTCTTTCACACATAAAAAACATGAAAAACTTGAAACCGAGATGAGATAAATTAACTGTGAGTCATCGTGAGAAGACCGATACTGCCTCTTTTGAGACTGTGATGATACCAAAAGTTTCCGTGATCACCAAGATCAAGACGAACCCTCCAAAGTGAAGTCTCGTTTGAGTATCGTGGGCAGCCCTATTCCTATCTGAGTATCGAATTCCAAAACTGACCTATATAGACTCCATTGACCCTCTAATGAGCCACATGATGATTCACTTCAGCCTGATTTGAGTTTTTACTCGGGTCAAAGTAAAAAATTTCTGATTCGATGATTCCTGTTTTCTATGTAGGGAGACAGCGGTGGACCAATCATCTGCTATAGTGAGATTGTGGGAATTTTCAAAGTTTCAGACGAACGCCCAGGCTATCCGCAGGTGTTCACCAGTGTGTATACTCATTTAGATTTCATTAATATTGCACGAAAAAATTGAACTATGATCCGGTGTGTTTGCGGATAGAAACTGATAATTGTATTTATCTTTCCGGTGTCATTGAAATTATGCAAGTATTCTTGACAGTGTTTGATGTTGGTTCCAACAAAAAACAGTTTGAATGGGTGAAATAAATCGATGATCTAGTGAATAAATTTTCCAAATTCTTTGTTTTTCGTTTTCCGCTTACCACACACGATATTTATCAATTTTATTTTCACATATGGAAATCCTCTGTGAAAACAAATCCTCTGTGAAAAACAAAATTCCACTGCGCTTGAAGCAACCTTTGTCATAAAGAATCTTGATGTTCAAGTAAAGTGTAGGAGCATCACGATTAAGGATAACCTATTATTATAAAACGGCTCATAAATTTCCGACTTGTTGAGTACATCCTCAATAAACAGACGGGTTCACTCCCAAGGAAGGCATCTTTTGCGCAAGAAAATGTATAAGGAAATGCGGAATACAAGGATTACCCTCCTGAGTTTTTCATCCGCATTTTTTTTTTCATGTTCCTCGGGTGCATCAAAAGTGAGTAATTAACTATGAAGAAAATAGTCTCAGATATAAGAAATGATATCAATTTCTGGTGCAAAGGTACCAGGCAGATCGTAAACGGGCATGTCGCAGCTGAGAAATTGTACCCGTATCAAATATTCATAACTGAAAATAGAAGTTTATGGTGTAGCGGTGGAATAATCGACGCAACGCATGTGCTCACGGCAGCGCATTGTGTGATTAGTGTACAAAAATCTGCACTTACAGTCGTAGCTGTTGTAGTGCCTATGGATGACCCAAACGCTGTTAGTCGGTGTGTCAAGATGATTCATACACATCCAAATTTTTCCACTGTACTTATCGATTCTCATAGCAGGCAGCAGTATGTTTTGCCAACTGCAAAAAATGACATCGCAGTACTTACGGTATGGTTAATTGTGCACATCTGCCATCTTTTCGATATAAACAGCTATGTCTTCAGAGGTTCAATTTTACAGCTCAGTAGTGCTCTCAAAAGGAACAGAAAAATTTGGAAGATCCCGAGTGGAAATTCTGTTCAGGTCTCGATCAGAAACTGATCAAGTTCGATCCGAAATCCTGATCAGGCATGTTACGCCTCTGCTTTAGGTTTTTCCACTAGGGTTTCTCCGCCTTCCATCATTAGGCATTAATTAAATTCAATTTTTTGAGAGAAAAAATTAGTAACTTCCTAGCCGGGAATCGAACCCGAGACCTCCCAATGTCGCGTCGGGTGCCCCCCAAGAGAGTGTTACACTTTCCCGTAAGTGATTATCAGAAAAATTTTGGTGCAATAACGTGCAAATGTTTCTGATTCTTATCATTCGTACTTCCTGGTTTAGGGAGACAGTGGCGGCCCAATTATCTGCAAAGGTGAGGCTGTGGGTATCCTCTCCAAACCAAATCTGAATGGAGGTCATCCGCTGATCTTTACGAGTATCAGTGCCTACATGGATTTTATTAACGAAGCACGCAAAAATTAGCTTCCGATATTTCCATTCAGAAATTATTGCTGTGATGGAATTTTAGAAATTCCGCCACCTGTACGAGAGTTCACCGTAGAATTGGAAAAATGCGGATTTTCGATAGAAAGGATTGTAAGGAGAGAGAGTAAAAGGGGTTAGTGAATATTGTTAGGAGAGAGAATCGCGTCATATCCCCCCTAAAGGTTGGCACCCCTATCGAAGGGAGATGCAACATTCCTGAATTTTAGCTCGAGCTTTGGATATCGGTCATCAGAACATCAGAACATCCACATCCGCGGGAAAA